GCGCATCCTTGGAGTAAATAAAAATAAAGCTGAAAGCTATAAGAATGTTTGTGAGATAAAAGGATATGGGATAGGTGTATGTATAAGGACAGATGGAGTGGCTAACCGGACGAGGAATGAGCTTCATTTGTAGCTGTTGTGAGGACGGCAAAGCTCAGTGGACAATTCAATGAAGCGCCTTTGAATCACATTCTGATTTCTATTATGACAGGACGTATTACGGGATACATTTTTTGAGGTTTTCCATTTATCCACGAGCAAGTTGTGAAGACACGGTCAGAGTAATCTTGTTTTCTCATACGGCTATACATTTTTTAACTGAGCTTAAAGCCTGAAAAATTTTAATGCTTGCCACAAGCCAGAAAACCATTTTGTTGGCTATTAATCGACCCTGATTATGCAACATCGTGTAAAATTTCTCAACTTGTTGAGTTTGGTTCTCGTCTCACCTTACCTTTCTGAAGAGGGGGCAATCGCTTGTATGTTATAATACACAAAAGATCATGCCCTTCATTTTTGTTTTTAAAAATAGAAGGTCGGTCAAAACATATGCGATTAATCTCTAAGTCTTAGCTATTTTGCCACATTTCATGACGTGTTCTCTCAGAAGACTTAAGAAGTCCTCATGCTGTCAGTTAAAGTTCTTCATTTCTCTTTCAAAATGCTTATATTACCCTCTATTTTGACGCTAGTTCACTCAAATTGCAATTTTTTTCAGACAACCATTGTTTTTTGTGAAGCAATTCCTTCTTTCATAATTGGCTAAATTTTCATGATTTTACACCGAATTCCCTATAAAATCTCATGATAGAAAAGAATAGCTTTTTAAAATATCTATTTAATTTATCTAAATCTCATCCCGTCATAGTGAAAGTGTGCTTCGAGGATATAAGATTGGCGAATATACCAGGACAGGAAAGATACAACTATTTAGGAGACAATTGGTCAAAGGATCGTCTTTATTTGTCTTTGACAAGTTATAGTGTGATGCTAAGGATGGCAAGGCTCACTGAAGATGCTGGCAAAAGGTCCGGCTGGAAATTTTCATGCATACTGTGGACTCCGGACAATGTGCGTTTTTCTAGGTCTCCATGACAATATGAAGAGATTGCGAAAACAAGGTCAGACAGCTTCCATAATTCGAAAAAAGACTGCGACCATACCAGAGGCCACAACATCTTGGTCTTCATATCTTCAATAAATTTCGCCCATTTGTAATCGAATTTTAACCTGAATCTTTTATTTTTCTTCTTTCAGCTCCCACCCCCACTTTTTCCTCTCCTACATCTCCCTCGTTCTCGTCTCCTCTTCCTAATCTGGCTACCGCCTCTGATACCTATTCACCTGAACCAGAAGATAAACAATCCACCGCACAGGATGATCAAACTAAGGCCTGTACATACGCTGCTTCTTTAGGAGACTTTACTTCCTCTTTCATGGTGCCTACATGCCAGCTCAGCTTTTCTGAGGCTGTCCAATCGCCTAAATTCCTGAATACTCTATCAAGCTCTTCTTCGAAGGATATGCTCCCTCCAAAAGAGGAGAACGACAAGCCCTTAGTCAGTTTAAGGGATCAAATAAATTCGTCTAACTCCGTTGACCTCGACGATAGACCAGGAATTGATCAGTCGACCGAACTGGATGGAAATTACTATTTAGGTCTTGTTGACAAGCTAGAGGGGAAGCTACGTCTTAAGATTGAGGCCATTGAGAAAGATTTGCGCACTTATCTTACTCTATCCGACGCAGGTAAGCATTCCTTACTGAATTGTAATCGATGTTTACCCTACATTTTTTTTACTTGAAACGGTATAATTTTTAGTAATATGAGATTTATTCACCCTATTTCGTTTAAGGTGATGAAGGACTGATAGTAGAATTTTCCCACAATGATATGAGTAGAGTCATTAACTTTCACAGCCTTGTTTTCCAAAAAGTTGTTTTCATCCAGGGTTGAGAATAACTTTTGGGAAAGCAAGGCTATGTAAAATTTAATGGAAACGTCAGCTCTACTTATATCATTGTGGGAAAATTCGACTATCAGTCCTTCATTACCCTAAACGAAATAGGGTGAATACATCTCATATTATTGATTTACTGGTTGTCTCGAAACTCTACTCGCATACGAAAAATAATTTTTGTGTTGGTTCGACCTTGTTTCTAAAACTTGGTCAGAGCGTCAAAGAGACCTTATAGAACGTACCTAGTCCCGTGCCCAATGCCATAGTATTCGTGATTTCAAGCACTGGATCATTGGCTGGGTGCATTCCTAAACGTTTCTACGGCATCGTCAGAGGCACCATCGTAAGCCTCCATTGTTGGAAATTACGAATACTATGGCAGAGGAAACGGAACTAGGTACGTTCCACAAGGTCTCCCTAGTGCTTCGACCAAGTTGCGAAAACAAGGTCTAACGGACACTATCAAGCTAAATGAGACTGCGACCAAACTGAAGGACACACCACCTTGATCTTCATATTTTCGGTATAATTTATAATTTATTGATGACTGGGCTAACTAATAGTATTCGTATTAGAGTAGGGTTTCGAGACTACCAGTAAATCAGTGTAATGAGATGTATTCACCCTA